GACTCTCAGGGGGTTCACATTCTAATGGAGGAGACAGCAGATAAAAAATAATAATAGGGATAAGAGTAGCCCTGCCCCCCAGGGCTGTGATATATACAGTGTTTTTGCAAACTTTTAAGCACACTATATAAATGCTACCTACGATTATTATTATTTTTGTTGTTATTGTTATTATTATTATTAATCTTCAAGTTTTAGAGCCAAATTTAAAGTACCGTTCTGAAACAATGTAGCCCTGATGTATGAATCCTCTCTGCAACATTCTGACAAATGACCATCTAGTTAATGCTTTCAGCCCTGGCAGACACAGAAACCTCTGCCCAGTGCACAACAATATAAGATAAGGAGCTTATAAAGCAAGTTGTGGAGATGATGTGCTGAAGATGAATAATAGTAATAATTATAATAAAAGATAGCAGACTTACAACTAGGGTGGGGAAAACAGCACTTTGTCCCAGGGCACCAGAATTTGAAGGGTGCCAACATAGTGGAAAGTGCATTGGATCTGGAGTCCAAGAACCTGACTGAGGACACAGTCTCTGGGCCTCAGTTTCCTCATATGTAAAATGAAGGGGTTAGGCTAGATGACCTCCAAGGTCATCCTTTCAACAGTTACAAACCAGGTGAGTTGTGCCATCCTGACTTCCCCACTTGTGACAGGAAAAAGTCTTAGTTTTGGCCCTTCAAGGTAAGTGGATGACAGGTGTTGAAGGAGTATTCTAGACCATAAGTGCTGCAGGAATTTCAAAGAAAGGAAAGCTCAAGGGGAACTGGGGTATTCAGGGAAGGTGACAGAGGAGATGGGGCATGAACTGAAATAACTCACTTTGTATAAAGAACTTTAAAGTTTGCAAAGTATTTTCCTCACAGCTATACTATGAAGAAGTGCAAATGTTCTTATTTCCATTTTACAGATGAAGAAGTTGAAGCTCTGAAAAGCTAAGTGACTAACACAAGGTTACAAAGTTAGTGAGTAACTGAGGTGTGATTGGAACCCAGATATTCTAGCTATAGGCCCAGTATTCTTTCCTCTATCCCGGAAGTGGAGAACCTGCAGCCTTGAGGCCACATGTGGTCCTCAAGTGTAGCCCTCTGACTGAATCCAAACTTCACAGAACAAATCCCCTTAATAAAAGGATTTGTTCTGTAATACTTGGACTCAGTCACAAGGCTGCACCCCCAAGGACCTAAAAGGCCACCCCTGCCCTATACCATGCAGTATCTCTTATAGGAAGAATATTGGTGAAATTAGCAGGAAGGGCACTCCGAGAGAGAATGGGATGAGCAAAGGCATGGAGGCATGATCGGTAGACCCTAGACAATAGAACAAATGACCATAGCATCTTAGATCTTCAGAGGATTTTATTATTTGCTCCAATTCCCCCCCATCTTTTTTTTTTTTTTTACAGATGAAGTAACTGAAACCCAGAAAGGGGTTTGCCCAATTTTACTGACTTGCCCAATTTTACATGGTAACAGAATTGGGATTCAAACCCAGGCTTTTTGACAATCAGACTAAGGTTCTTTCCACCCTATCATGCTGCCTCTAATTTGGCTAAAACTATGTTGGAGAATAAAGAGAAGATAGGTTAATAATTAATGGAAGATAGGTCAAAGTCAGACTTAGGGAAGTGTGGGGAGGATTTTGATTATCAGGGTAAGGAGTTTGGGCTTTGTACGGGGGAGCCCCTGAAGGTGTTCAGGGCAGAGCAGTGATATGTGGAAGTCACACACATTTATTTTAAAAACAGTGTTCTGGATGGGAAGTCATGGACAAGACCAGGCTGTCTTTAAATTGGCTCTAGTAAGTGTAGCATGAGTGACTGTTATGGAAGAGCTTCCTGTCTGACCAGCTAATAATAAAGGTGGTTCTGCAAGTTGTATTATGCCCAGGACATCCGCATCATACCCAGCTCTAGTTGCTCTCCTGAGCTTTAGTCACACATCTCCACCTGCTTACTGAATGAATGTGTCACAGCAAGCTCCAACTCAACATGTCAAAAACATGACTCATTGTCTTTCCCCTAAAACCCCCTTCCCAGCAGAACTTCCCTATTTCTACCAAGGTCAACACTGTCCCAGTTTCTTAACCTGAGACATTCTCTCCTCCTCATTCTTCCCACTCCACATTTCCAAACACACACTAGGGCTCCTTTATTCTACCTCCACAACATCTCTTATATCTATCTCCTTTTCTCTGCTCCCATGGCTAAGCCGCTAGTCCAGGCCCTCACCATCCTTCTCCTGGACCTATTGCAGTGGCCTCCCAGTCGGCCTCTAGTCTCTCCTTCGTCGAGCTGCCGCCATGGCTGAAATATGCTTTCTCACTTCCACTTCTTAGAATCCGATGTTTCCTTCAAACCTGAGCTTAAATGCCACCTTCTCCATGAAGTCGTTCATGATCTCCCTAGTTGTTAGTGCCTCTCCCATGGTTATATATGTGTGCACACACATACATATATGTACACATGTGTACACATATAGCTAACATTTATGTAGAGCTTCTTATGTGCCAGGCACTGTGCTAAGTACTTTTCAATTATTATCTCATTTCATTTTCACAACAAATCTGGGAAGTAGGTACTATTATTATCATCATTTTACAGATGAGAAAACTGAGGCAAACAGAGACTAAATGACTTGCCCAGGGTCACACAGCTAGCAAGTGTCTGGCTGGATTTGAACTCCGGTCCTCCTGACTCCAGGCCCAGTGCTCTATCCACTGTGCCACCTAGCTACCCCCTAATCTAGGTTGTAGGGTGGCATGGTGAAAGAGGTTGTTCAGTTGTTCCTATTTGCCCAGCCTTCCAACTATTGACTCATTGACTAGGTGTGTTTCTCTCTCTGCTCTGGGAAATTGTAACAAAAGGATCTCTCTCTTTCTGTACACACACACACACACACACACACACACACATTTAGCTCTAAGCCCCCAGTCAGAAACAGCTATGGACCCAGACAGACTTTGAGATCTCAGCCATGAGGTGCTTGGGGCTTGTTCTGAGTGTTTGGGAGCCAAGAATTAGGTGATATAAGACAGAGGAGAGGTTCCTGAAGGATCAGGAAGCCATCACTGTTAGGAAATAATACTATTCGCATTAGCATGGTATCATGATGTGCTTACTCCTATTTCAACTGGAAAGTCTTTGACTTCCATTCAAAAGTGGGAATAACACTTCGTTCTGTACTTATCTAAGGCCTTTATTATATAATAGTATGTATATAGTTATCTGTACTTGTATCTTACACCTTAATTAGACTGTAAGACCACTGAGGGTAGGAATCATAGTTTATTTAAATTTTCTATCTCCCCTACAGTCCAGCATAGTACCTTTGCACACAATGAGTACTTAAATGTTTGTTGAAATGAAATGAAACCATGGAAGAGGGTGGGGAAGAGGAAAGAAATGAGGAAGAAAGAGTTTTCACCTACACACCCCACCATCCAACTCTGCATCTTCACCCTTTGGGACTGTATCCAGTTCAGTTCAACAAGTATTTGTTAAACACCTATTATGCTCAAAGCACTGGACTAAACACTGGGGATGCAAAACAATCCTTTCCCTAAGGACCTTACATTCTTCTAAGTCAGGGATCCTTAACCAGGGTTCCACACACCTCCAAAGGGTCCATGGATCAGGGGGTCTGTGAACTTGGAGGGGAAAATATTACTTCTTTAATTTCATTAAAGTCTAATTGAAATTTAGCATCTCTTTCAATTATGAATGTAGGCAACAAATCTTATTCTGAAGAGGGGTCCATAGATTTCACCAGACTGCACCCAAGGGGGTCCATGACAATACAGAAATTTAGAATCTGTGTGTTGGGGAGGAATACAGTAGATAAATGTAAAAGTAAGTAAAATATCATTTGAGGAGGTAAAGAGAACTAACAAAGGGGATCAAAGTAGGCTTCCTATAGGAAGTGAGTTTTGAAGGAAGCTCAAGATTCTAAGATATGGAGATGAAGATGGCATGCATTCCAGGCATGGGAAAGAACCAGTGAAAAGGTGTGTAGGAAGGAGATGGGATGCCACCATTTCCATTAGAATTTCTCCCTCATTAGAATACAAGCTCCTTGAGGACAGGGATGCCCTGAGAACAGCAAGTAAGCCAGTTGGACTGGTATGTAAAGTTTGTAAAGGGGAATAGTATGAAGTAAGTCTGAAAGGGTAGGCTACAAACTCACTAGAAGGGCTTTAATATGAAGCTAAAGACTTTGCATTTGATCCTAGAAGCAATAGAGAGTGACTGATGATTCTTGGGCAACATGGGTGAACATTTTTCCTCTTCCTCCTGATTATGTCAGTGGATCTAACACAGGGGATGGCTGAGCCCATCCTCTTTTTTTTTTTTAAAGTGGTTGTTTTTCATTCCATTTTTCTGAATCTCAATTATTATTTTATGGGGAATGGCTGAAGAAACAGTTCTCAGTGAGGATACAACTGCACCAGAATTTTCAGGCAGGGCCACCCCCAAAGGAAATGCTGCATGGAAAGACTTGATCCTTTTTACCATCTTCCAACTCTTCCTCTTGCTTGTCTCTGAGTTTTCTGTCTTAAGGAATCCAAGACGCAGACAGCACAGAATAGCACTTTTTCATTATCATAATTCAAATTACCTGTTTAAGGCGGTCAAATGAAAAAATAGCCGTTCAGCCCCCGCATGTGGCCTGGCAGAGAGAACCTTTCGAAGAGTGTCCTGATTATGAGATGAAGTGGTTGGGCCCTGCCCTCAACCCTGGGCTGACAGACTTCAGGCTCCACGTGCCATGAGCTCATTTCCTGGAGTGTGTATGTGTATATGTGTATGTGTGTGTGTGTGTGTGTGTGTGTGTGTGTGCACGCACGTGCAAGTTTCTATTTCAACCTGGCTCCATACAAACAGGGCAATTTACTGCTACCGAAAGGGGCCCAAATTACATTTGTAACATAGAAAAATATTCTCCTTGCCAGGCCACTCATCTGACTGGGGGTAGGGGGTGGGGAGATAGTAACTCACAAGAGAGCCCCAGCAGAGTCCATTCAAGCAGGTTCAGAGGGAGAAGGGTGGGGTGGGCCCTGCAGAGGAGCATACCTGGACATCCCCCGAGGCAGCCACCTCTGCCTTTGCAATTCCAAAATACCGTCAAGCCTTGACATTCAGA